AGGGGTGATTATCTATAATAGCTTAAAATCAAGTCTTACTCTTGTATATTGTGTGGGGGGGATGGGGACTTCCAGTCCAAGATAGCAACCAGGGGGCGAGGCACCTGCCAAGGGGTAGGGCTACTCATACAACCCTCAACAGCTTGCCAAAATGTGGTAAGCAGCCCTCCACACAAAATAACTGCCCACCCCTGCTCTAGTGCCAAGTCATAACTGTGCAGCTTGGGAAGAGTGGGAGAAGGTTTTTAGCCTTAAGGCATGACTGCTGCAAACTCAAGCTAGCACGAAAACTGATCAACATCTGAGTGGCTTGAAGTGCAACATGCAACAAGGCCCTCATATGTAACCTTTATCCCCTAAACCAGCTAGGCAGAATCTAGGTAAGCATTATATGTGAGGAAAAGTGATACCCACGGGTCTGGAAATTTGGAATGGGAAAATTTGGTGCAATTCTGGGAACCATGGTAATTAACACTGACAATACTTTCCCCCCTTCCTCCATCACCAAATTACTAATGGATTGGGTTGATCCATGGCCAGACCCAGCACACCAGCTCTGACCTGGCACACAGCCCTGGACCTGGTGTGCAGGGTTTGATCCTGCATGCTGGCTCCAGAGCCACATGCTGAGACAAACTTGGATGAAGCAGGGTTAAAGCTGGAGCAGTTTTGTTACAATCATACTGCTGTAGGCAATATATGATTATAAATTAGAGCGATTTAGCAAACTTGTATTGCTACAGGCTTCTGCAAATGTAACAGTTAAAGTGCAACAGCTGCTGCACTCTACTGCAAGTGAACATTTGTCCATGCCAAATACTGCTACGAACAAAAAACTCTGTAATGTAGACAAGGCTTTTCAGAAAGTGCAACTTCCTGTACTCAACCAAAAATAACATGCATCAATAGAATTAGCATAAAAAGAATTTAGCAGCAATCCTAAACATAATTTATCCATGTGAACCCAACTATGGTTTAAACATTTATACATGACCATCCTTGACTTTAAGCTACCTTAGAATCATAGAAAATTAGGACTGGAAGGGGCCTCAAGAGGTCTTCTAGTCCAACCTCCTGCTCAAAGCAGGACCATCCTGAAGTAGGACTTAGCAGAAGATACCTCGAAGACACGTTTAGCAACAATGCAATCTAGAAAATATGAGCTGTTTCCATTACCTTTGCCTTCCTCCAGGATTTCCACTCTTGTAACGCAGTTTTGTATTCTTCCATGTTTTTTTCATATTCTTCTATATATTCTTCCAAAAGTTCATTTATTTCAGCTTGAATTTCTTCTTCAAATGCTTTTTCATCTGATCTTCGGTCAACCTCTTCCCTTCAAAACAGTTTGTTATAATTTGACAATGTACCACGCACTATTAGGTCTATATGTTGTATTATTGAGCTTATAAATGACAAAATAATCATTACAGAACAATGTTATAATCAAAGTTGAATCCTTTCACTATACCAAAAATATGTTCTACTGAAAAATTCATTCATGCCTTAGCCTTCCTTTCATTTACATTACCACACAGGGTAATTGTTCAAACAATTCTCAGCAGAGTGGCTCTAGCAGTACTATCTTTTTCGTAAGTTCAGATAAATACAAAGAAAGTCTTTGCAATCCTGAGATGAGTTTCTTATTAGGAACTACCAACTTTAATTAGTAAATTAATTTTCACACGACAGTTCTTCAATGCAGTATTTAGCAAATCTCACCCCTTTGTTGCCATTAGTTTGTAAGTGATTGTATTCTCTTAAAATAAAATTAATTAGAAATTAATGAGCTAATGTGGTGATAAACCTAAGTCAGTCATAAAATATGAGAGACATTCCAGAACAATTTATATGCAGCATATAATAAATACTTCAAAATGGCAAGGAATTAGTGTCAAGATTTGTGATAGATGCGAAAAGAATAGAAAGCAGGCAGTAACTATCAATGATTAACTTAATTCTGCCTTTATTTGTTATCCTCTGGAAATTTCTCTCTGCTACGATAATTACTTGTAACTTTTAACCTAAAAAAGGAAGAGTAGCAGGTTCACCCTATAAAAATTGTTGGCTAAAGACTTATCTTAGTGTCTATTTCATGTAATTTTTGAGTTCCCAAACTTGACTGTGCTCCATGAAATCCAGCTGCTGGCTCATGAAGTAACAAAAATGTTATCAAAACATACTTTCGCAAATATAGTTTCATGGGTGTATTAGTAAACTTCTGAAAGTCACGCAGGGATTTTATTTCTTTCCAAACTTTTATGATAGTCTTGAGCAACATTCGATCTTTTTCTTGTTCGGCATCTCGAAGTCGTCGTGTTTGCCTACAAATATATACAAACAAAACTGAATTTACATAATTAGACAAAACAATACAGAGAGAATCTGTGATGTAGTAATGATGCTGTTTTCAACTTGACTGATGTCTGCAATGACTTTTAAACCAAGAAAGCATAAAAACCCGCATAAAATTTGAAGATAAGACGTAGTTCCTTTAAGATCTGCATTCTGTTCTTTTAAATTACAGACAATCTGACTCCAATTACAGTAATTCTTCAGAGTTCTCCAAGTCTTCAAAAAGGCTTATTACAGCTGTATATTATTAAAAGCATTTTAACCTCAATATGTGTAAACAATAATCCAACACTGCCGCTATGAAGTAATGCCTAGTACAGCCATACATTACAAAACACATTTTAAAATTAACAGGCTTGAACTCTTGCATGAACAAAATGGACTAATAAATGGTTAGTCTGCAGCCTCAAACCTGGGGCCTCAGCCTAACCAACAAAGCCATTCATGCCAGCTGGCCACCCTACAGCAGATTATCCAGACTGGTCACGGCTGACTTGAAGCATCCAGCAGAGCCTCACCCTCCACCCACTCCCTGTCACTGGAGTGGCTGGCTGGAGTCTGCTAATCTGCCACTTCCCCCATATAAACCCCTTAGCTGGAACAGGAAGTGTCTGAGCAGTAGGGTTCTACCTGACTCATGACTGTGCTGCAGCTTCTTTCAGTTTGATCCTAGACTCCGCTCTCTGACCGATCTCCTGGCTTCACCTCTTGGTAATCTTGCTCTCTGTCTACTCCTCCAATCCCTGGATTCAGCCTGCTCCTCGACTCCACTCTCTGACTGATCTCTCAGCTCCCTGACCTGGTTTGTCCTTGGATACTGCTTGCCATCGTGGTCCTGGTCAGCACCTTGATCCCTCAAGTGGCCCTAGACCCAGCTGTCCTGATCCTGGCATGACACAAACAGATGAATTTGGCCCAGCGTGTGTAGACAGCAGCCAATGAGAACTACGCATCTATGAAGTAATGTAAATCATGTCATTGCCCTGGAGGACTCCAAACACAAACAAAATTAACAACTTATTTTGGCTTGGTGTAGATATTTGACATTTGGAACTATTTCCATCTTCTACACCATTACATAAAGGATATGTGAGTTTGAATCTTTAAGCAAGGATGTACTTGTAGAAAATAAAGTCTATTTTCTTTTGTAATTGGCTTTATAGGATGAATTAAATGACCATGGTCTCAGCACTGTTGTGATAGTTAATTGCCTAGTAAACACAAAAGTAATTTACATAAAAAGATACTCAACCTAGACCATTACTGTTCTAAAACAGGATACTGAGAGGGGTTTTTTAAAGCTAAGATCCAGATATGCAATAGCTTATGTTTATTATTTGCACAAACTTTGTTTCTGCTTTCAAATACTTTAACAGATCTTAAAATAAAGACTTTCCAAAAACCAATGGCTTAATCAACAGGTTAGCAAATACCTTGAATATTTGCTCTCTATAATGAAGTTAGTCACAAGTAGCTTGATAAGCTCTGGACCTGGAAGTCATTTTTGATTCTGAAATTAATATAGAGGACAAGTTTCCAATGTAGGTGAACAACGATGTATTTGTTTCCAAAACCTGCATTTTATTCACTCCTACACTACATTAATAAAATACTTTAGGGCCTAAGCTTGAAAAATTACCCACAGTGCAGCTGTTGAACTAGGTTATAAGCCTTTGTCCAGAAAAGTCTGAGACATCTTACCTCCACAGCCCACACCAACTTATTTAGAAAGTATGATAGGGTAACTTGATAGCTTTGAATTGTACTAAGTAAAGCTACAGTAAATGAGAGCAGGGAGTGAAGCTATAGAGCACTGAGGTCCTATGTGGCATCTTTCCAGCCAAAACCCAACATTAATTTTTCTTTCTAGGATATGTTTATTATAAGGCTGTTTTTTTGCTGCTGGTAATATTTTATTTGCAGGTTTTGATTTGCTTGTCTCTGAGTTTACTATTGTCTGTATTGGTTTTAATACATTTATTTACAGATTCATGCCTAAATGCTTCCGGTTATGTAGCCAAAGAAAGAATATCTTCTTTCATCAGAGAAGTGCATCCACATCCTAAGGCTCTGCAGTGGCATAAATAGCATGTGGTACCTTCATTTAAAAGTATTTTATAAAAATACAATTTTTTAAAATAATTTTTGAGGCAGGACTGTTCTCAGTAAGCCTTTTCATTATAGACATTACATCCTAGTAAAAGAACATGAAACAGCAATCAAAGACAGTATGAAAGAGGAGAGATCTTGAAAGAAAGGAAAAATAATAAAAGAAAGAGAAAGGAAAAGCATGTGTCAGGATGGGGGGCAACTGGGGAGAAAAGAATATGGAGGACAAGAAAAGAGACTGCAACGATGAAAGGAATTTTTAGTGCACTAGACAACTCCCCTGCCTAAGTTGTTAGAGTTGCTGTTTTAAGTGCATAAGATCTTATACTGTGCATGTGCAGTAGTCATTTCAGTTAAGACTATTCTAGGAAGAGTGAACTCTTGCCCTTGTCTGACTTAAGCGACCTAGTTTTGCTGTAGGGCATGCGTAGTAGCTAGCATCCACCTGTCAAGTGCTGAATGCAAGGTATGGCATTGTGTGCAATAGCATGCTAGTGTATACGAAGGCATTTGATTGGACAGGATATTGTACTGAACGCTTGCTCGGACCAAGTTTGATGATGGGAATTACTGCAGACTGCATGAGGTAAGTGAGAACCTGTTTGGACAGTATACAGTCTGAGTGTGTGCTTGATACAAAACTTTCCGATGAACAGCCGAGAGCGTGAAGCGACTGGATGAGTAAGATGGGGTGAAAGTCTGAGGTTAGCTTGTGTGTTGGAACAGGAGGGGGTTTCTGCTCCAGAGAGAGGCTCTGATCCATGAAGCATACTGATTCTGGTGCTGTGCTGGGTGGACGTGAGGTGAGCTCTTAAGAGAATTGAACTTGGACATAGTTCTTCTAACCAAGCCCTCGGTAATTTCTTTGCATGATATTCCTAGAGCTGCAGGAATTGTAGCTTCTGGTAAAGTAGTACCCTGACCCTGATATTGAGATGGAGGACTTAGCCTCTGCTTTCTGTTGGGGAAGCCTAGAGGAAGTGAACCTAGGGATTTGGAAGGCAGGAGGGGGTAGTGTGCACTGACCTAATAGTCCAAGTGAAGTATTTACCCAAGTACCTCAACATCTGACTAGAAAAAGGTTTGGTGTACGCAAGCTCTGTAATAGCTGACCGTTTGAGAAAGAAGAGACTGTTTTGCATGAGAGAAGGAGTCTGAATTTGTAAATCTCTTGGCCAGTGGCCAAGGTTGCAAAGCAACGCCAGCATGTTATCTGTGTTCGCATACTGAAGGCGACTCTGGTATATATGAATAACTTTTTTTTTTTTTTTTTTTACTATTCTATAACTTACATTTTATTATATCTAACAACATACTTACATTTGATTTAATATATTCCTGTGCATGTGTCTATTTTGGGCTCTTTTACACAAACTCCCACAAAGTCTGGTGGATATCCAGTCTGAGCTTTCACTCTTAGGTTATGTAGCTAAACCTTATGGCTCTTGAACACTCCTTTTGTCTCAGTATTTTAAATACTTGCCTGCCCACCCCAATACAAATTAATCTGCGGACTCTAGTTACAATATAGACCAATTAACAGCAAGTCTAACAATACAGATGGGGTGTACAGGCTTTGCCAAATTTCCAGCTAAATGTTGTGAATTCCAACAACTATCTTGCTACCGAAAGGAGAGACAAATATTAGAAGAATATTATCTACACTAGATCTGTAATCTATAATTTTCAATGAGTGTGCCACCATTATGGAAGCAATAATGCAAGGCTCAGACAGGTGTTCACCAATATATATACACAACTTAAAGTTAAGACAAACAACTTCAGGTGGTAAAAATTCTACCATAAACTCAGATACAAAACAGTTTCCAACAATGAAGCTGCATCCAAAGAAAATTACAGGTATAAGAAATCCTAGTTCTACAATAGCTAAACTGATCTTGAGTTAGAGAGGTACTCAGTTGTGTTAGTCTGAAGACAGGGCACATTTGCACCTTATAGGTTGAGTAAATCAGAGATCTAGCATGAGCTTTTGTAAGCCTGAACTCTCTTGATCAGATGCTGTGAAAGGACACACGCAGAGCAGTGTATACAGTGTGGTTTGGATACAAAAGGTGGGGAGTAGGGAAGTACTGGATGAGGCAAACAATCAAACAATAAACACACAGAAACAAAGGGAGGGGGGAGAGTCACAAAAGCTAATCCAGGTAATGGGATAAGAATCCATAGTCCAGATTTAAACTATACTGAACACAAGATAGTCAGGAAATGGATTTCTTGTTCTGTAATTTCCCATTCAAGTTAGTTTTTAAAGTTTTACCGTCTATGAACAACTATGCTGAGGTTGGAAATGGAATGTCCAGAAAAGTTCGAGTACTGTGCTGCAGACCTGTGTGTCTTATGTTAGACTGGCATTTATTTTTACAAGTAGGGATGCCCTGGCTGTAGACCTTAGAGGGGCACAGTAAGCAGGTGCTGGCATACACAACACTGGTAGAAGTGCACGTGAATGAACCTTGGTCATTTTACTTCTCGTTATTTGGTCTAGTGATGATGTGGTCTATACTGATATGGGAAACAGAAAAAAAATGTGGATTTTTCCCCTTTAACTGAGGAAAAATGCAGACTTCTCATTTTAACAGAAACACGTGGGTTTCCACCTTTGCGAAAAGCTCTCTGCAGGGTGGCAGAGTCCCAGCCTGCAAGGGGCTGCGGGGAGCAGCAGGAGAGCAGTCAGGCAGGAGATGCCATGTCCACGTGCTGGAAAGCAACTCCCGCAGGCAAGTTGGGTGGGAGGGGTGAGGGGAGATTGAGGCCCCCATAGGGAAGAATGGAGTTGGGCAGGGCTGGAGCTACTACCCAGCTGGGCAGCATGTGGGCCTTGGGGCCCAGGGCCCTAATGCACTGCCACAGGGCCCCAGCGGGAAGGGACCACAGGCGGTTTGTCTTGGAGGCAGGGAGTGGGGCTAGCTCCCAGCCACTGTGTATGCTCCTGGGAGGGGGCAAGGGGAGCATGTGCCCCCCAGATCTGTGCACAGCTGGGGGCAAGGGCAGGCTGCCTAGTGTGGGGCTTGGGGCTCCCCACCCTGTTGCCTTCCCCCCATAGCCTCTGGTGGCCCAGTGGGTAGGACCTGACACAGCAGGACAGAGTAGGGCTGGATGGGGAAGCTCTTTGCCTCCGCAAGCCCTGCACCACCCTGGGGAAGAGCCCCCCGCCTGCCCAGAAGCAGTGGAGACAGCAGCACAGACTTGTGGCCCTCAAGGCTGCTGCGCGAGCAGGGGGCACCTCGCCAAGGCAGCATAGGACTTGCAGCAGCAAGGAGCTTCCCCGCCGCGCCCCACTCTGCCCTGCCATGCCAGGTCCTGCCTGCTGGGCTGTGGAGCCCTGGGAGCAGCACAGAGAGCTCAAGCCCACAACCATCCCTGCCACTCTTCTCAGGCCATGCTGCCTATGGGGGAAGGGGAACCAGGCTCCATGCTCTGCTCCACTGCAGCAGTTGCTGCCTCCCATGGGCAACAGCCAGGGCTCGGTCACTGCTGGGGGAGCAGGGCAGGGAGCAGTGGACCTGGGTCCCTGGCCCTGTAGCCCTGGCCGCTGGGGGCCCCCTTTGGCAGGGCTGGGGGGCAGAACCCCACCAATTCAGAGAAACGTGCACATCATTGTCTGCTTTCAGTTTATGATAAATCACTTTTTTAAGCACCTATTAGTTAAAAGGATGATCAGTGTGCATCGTATCTCGAAAAACATCTCCTCATACAAATCCAAAACTATGTAAAAAAAAAAAAAATATTCCTTTCTCTAGCCTGTGTTTATTACAGCTCTATGCTGTCCATATGCTCTCATTAATAACAGGTTTTATTACTAATTCAGGTACTGGAAACTATTTACTACCTATGGTTTATTATCTAAAAACAATAATGATAATTTTTATAAAATACTACTGATTTATATTAAATAATTTTATACATCTTAACCTGTTAGCAATAACTTGCCCACAGCATCCCATTTATGACAATGGGAAACAGGCCTAGAACAAACACTGTTTGAAATCAACTCATTATCTCATATGGTGCAAAGGTGGAATCAAAAGAAAGGAAAAATTCATTCAGAATAGTTTTTTGGAGGATATGTAAAACAACATTATTTATCATGCAACTTCAAGGAAACAGTTAGCATTCCTGCTTAATACACTTCAAAACTAACAGTCATTCGGCTGATTCTATCAAGATTAGGCATGGGGCAAGTCTAATTGTACACGTTATTTTCTAGTAAGCAAGGCATCACATGAAAACACTTTTCTAAATAAAAGCTTCAGAAGACTTGTATCCAAGCTCTATTTTTGCTACAGACTAATAAGCAAAAAGTTTTAGGGCACACAATCTACCTGAGAAGAGTAATGAATGGGACCATTAGTTAGAGATGATTCAACTGTGTAAATCAACAGTCTTTTGCATTATATTTAAATTGGACTTCAGATCCCCAAATTAGGTCATACAGAGAATAACAGCTGCTCCCAATTGGTGAGATATTGCTCATCTGTTAATAATTCTCTGTCAGAAAACCAAAAATGTTCTAGAAAGCTTTCCAGAAATACACTGCTCCTCTAGGAACAATAAAACATTAGTAAATTTGAGAAGAAAAAAATTTAAAAAGCAATTGTTTACAACAGGCCAAAGGAACATTTACTGTTTAACTTTCTCTAAACTGAGATTAAATAAAATATATGTACACTTTCCTGATACAAGGTGGAAAATGAAATAGATGACACCTAAATAAATTAAATCATAACACTCCAGAAAGTAAATGAAAGTTCTGTGCATATACAAAGTGTCAGCCTGTTTGACCTCCATGTGAAAAATGCTCAATTGACAGGCTCAATTGATAGGGTGAAGTTTCTGATCATTCCCATGGTACATTATTACATGTTATACTTTTGTACCTAAACCATCATGTCCAACCTTGATCTGGCCAGCTGAAGATGTGTTCTTCAGGCACATCCTATATCCTTACTCTCTCCAAGTAAAAAGATATGAATTAAGCCAACAATACCATGAATAATGCCAGATTTTGTGGATTTTTCCTTTTTTATAATCATCTTTTCCCCCTAATATGTTAATTGAGATTAACAATTCACACAGGCCCCCTTCAACCTTCACACTATAATAATGACTTGCATATAAACAGGAGATATAAAGCTCTTTTTTCTGGTTTCCAGTCATCTAAGGTATCCAGTTGGAATGCAAGAGAAAATTATATTTAATTATCAATGTATTGTTATGTGCCAGTATATTGTTACAAAAATGTTATGTTTAGCTGATGATCTTTATGCCTATATGCACGTAGGCACAATTCCATATAAACTGGTATCTGACCAGGGTTTAAATTCTCAGAAAACTAGTAGACTTTAAGATGAGCTTTGCACCACTACAAAGCAATACACTATGAAGGTTACTGAAAACAGCAAGATTATAAACTGTTCTCCAAGGGAGAAGACAAGTAGTAATGGGCACAAATTGTACCAAGGAAGATTTAGGTAAGACATAAGAAAAGCTTTCTAACTGTAATTAAGCACTGAAATAGATTACTTACGAGGTTGTAGAATCTCCATTGTTGGAAGTCTTTAAGAATGGGTTAGACAAAATATCTGTTAGGAGTGATAGAGCTGTAGGGCAGGGCAATGGATTAGATCTACCAAGGTCCTTTTTTTCTGTTAGTCAATGGTTCAATGGGGCCAGAAATGTACTCTTTATGCTACATACACAGATTCCACACAAGTGGAAATAATCTGAATTTTTTAAGTGGAAATCCATATTTCATATGGATAGTGATAGCTGACAATAGCAAGGTTCATTGTTTGTGGTTATTAATTTTTAACAAGAGCAAAACACAGTTGACACAGAGTGAAAAAGAATGCAATAGCAACTTGATTTTGTCCTCAGGACTATTACTTTCTTAATGACAACCGAATGCTGTGAAAAAATACACATCCAAGGTATTTTAGAGCACTTTAAAAGCCTGAACTAACATAACTTATTAATCATCTAAAAAGTACATACGTCTCTTTGGCTTCCTTTGGGAGTTTCTAGCTGTTAAATCACCCAGAAAAAAAGTACATCATATAATAAAAATAGATTTCTTGGAATGCAACATTAAACATGGCACTATCTGGTTTCATGTAAATTCAGTGAATGATTTCTGGGATGTTTGACTAGGTTGTTTTTTGGACTGTGCAGCCTAGTTCCATAAACACAAGTATTTAACATGCCAAACTTCATTTTGTAGTATTTATAGTTCTGTACCTACAGGAAGAACAAAAACTGGAATAAAATTTGAGAAAGAAATATTTGATGAAATTTTGCCTACCTGATTTCAAATTTATAGTCAGTTATACTCTGGTGTGCAACAGGGTTAGGTATATTGGTTCTATTGATGTCCACATTACATCCCACAGCATTCCTCAGAGCATGTAGCTTAAACAACAAACAAACAAACAAACAAACAATTCATGATGCTTTCACTGTTTATGGAGGAAACACTGATCTATAACCTGAAATGAACAAATCAGTTGCCAGATAGAAAACTGCTAGCCCTAAAATGTAAGAGAGTTTAATCTGTCTTCTTACTCTGTATCCTCTTGAAATGATACACCTCAGAAATCAGCGAGTTCAGAAATTCAGAGAGATTAGCAAATGACACATCTCACAGACTTGCTATAAATGGCACCAGTGTTACTTTTGCACCAAACTCAAGGTGCCATATACGGAATAACTAGCCATAAAGAATGTTTCATATACAATGCATGCTGCCTTAAATTGAACATATGGCATGTCCATACACACACCGGGGCTGATTGCTGGGTATCAGCCCCAGACATCTGAATGTCAGAATTAGCTATGGGCAGCTTTGGGTCTCCTAGCCATAACTACACTGAGTCTCCAACTGGCCTGGGGTTTGGGAGCTTCTGATCCTCTGCAATCAACAGCCCTGGTAAGGCTGCAAGCTGTTGCATAACTGGGATCTGCTCCTAAACCAGACAATTGCACATTCTACCATACACACATAAGGTAGGTAGGATGAACAATTGTTGGGATTGGGTATTTAGACCTGTGGTGCCATAACCATGTGCCAGCAGCCTTAGATATGTAAACATCTAAGCGCCACTTAGACATCTAATAGGTTTGCTCCCTTGTCTATACAGCATCCCTTTGCTATAGAACATGCCCACTGACCAGACAATCAGCAGATAGCAGAAATAAGAAGCATTTCCATGGGACTTGTTCTTGATCAAGAGCAAATCTCTGTTCCGTCGGGATAAGTAAATTTGTTTATATGGTCTTCTGCTTGGTGGCTTGTTGGGGTTTAAAAACAGACAACTGTGGCTGGATGAGACCTCAGGAGATCATCTAGTCCAGTACTTTTCAACCTTTTCTCATTTGCAGACTGCCAAAAATTTCAAATGAAGGTGCAGACCCCTTTGAATTACAAGTGTGACTTCGCATATTTTTGATTGACCATAATCATCTTCTGTGGACCCCTTAGATATAGACCCCCAGGGGTCCGTGGACCACAGGTTGAAAACCACTGATGTAGTCTAAACCCCTGCTCAAGCCATTCCATTCAAAACTTCCAAGGAGATTACATAACTTCTCTAGGTAGCTTGTTTCAATGTTTAACCACAATCATAGTGAGAAAGCTTCCTACTACCTAAACTAAATTTTCCTTGTTGCAATTTTAATATCCTTTGTCCTGTTCCCTTTGGCCCCAGAAGGTAGTCTATGACCTTTAAATACCTGAAGGATGGTTATAAAGACTATTATCAAACTTTCCCTCAATCTTCTCTTTGCCAAACTAAATAAGCTGTTTTTCCAACCTTTTCACACAGGTCATATTTCCTAGAGTCTGTGGTTTGATTGCACATTGTTTGAAAAGTCAGTTTCACAGTTACCCTTAGTTTAACAAGTCAGTTTCAGAGCAGTGCGTTCTGTGTGGGACAACACTCACAACTAAGGGCAAGATGGAAGCTTCCTGATTTTGATCACCAATGATACTGAAATAGGTGTCAACGGGCCAGGGCTAACATAAGCAAAAGATTTAAAAGCCAAGCAACCTGTGACCAAACTGGACCAGCAACCAGAGAACAGTTATTTGAATACTTCTGACTTTATTTTATGCAAACGTAAGGACTAAACAGAAATACAGATGACAGCTCCTGAGGCAGCACTGAAGGAGACCCAATAATGGAGCGGACAAGAAAGAAGGCTGTAGAAGTTGAGGAATATACATTAACCTTGAGTGTTCACCTGATATAATCCATTTATGTATGAAGTGTCACCTGAGAGGCTTAATGAAATACAATATCCAAGAACTACAGAGGCAGCTTGTGGCATTCAGATGGAAATATGGTGGAGGAGAGAAAAAAGATTGTATGAACAACTCAAGATTTGTAGACACTTGCTAATAAACCAAATGACCTGGAGAACTGACTGCTAGATAAAGATGGTGACCATTAGGACAAGGCAATGGAGGAGACTGGCTATAGAGGGATAGAGGATTGTAGCACTGGAGAATAAGGATTATATGCAAACAGAAAGAGAAGAAACAAAATTAGCTAGACCCACAAGGTAAGATGGAGACCGAAGAGTCCAAGAGACTGAAGAGGAACACAGATGAAATACTGAGGACTGCAGGAGTCAAAACAAGATGGAGTGTTTTGCAGAAAAAGAATACTAAGAAGAAAAGAATATTAAGAAGAGAATTGGAGAGTAAAGAAAAAGGCAAGTCTATGAGCCTTGTGACTCTTTTAGAAGAATCGACTGGCTGTCACCTGAGCAAATCCAGAGAACAGGATAGCATGCTGTCAAAAGAGATGAAAGGTGTCAGGGCCTCTGGACAGTCAGACCCAGCTGAGCAAGATGAACACCTTGCTGGGGTCGTTTGACCCCAGTACTCTTTCCTGCCATGGCAGGGGGTCAGACTAGATGATCTTCTCAGGTCCCTTCCGACCCTAGAAACTATGAAACTAAGCTCTTGAGTTTCCGTACCTGACCTTGATCCGTGGCTAATGTGACTGTCCCAGTTCTCTGAGACTGGACCGGCTGCTGAAAGCACCACTCAGCCTATTTAAGTACACTTGCAGCCTCAGGCTGCAGGCACAACTTGATAACAGCCTCAGTCTGCTCTGGCAAGCTTTAAGTTCACTACTGTCTCTAGTTCTCCTAGCTCCTGATGCAGCTTCAGCTTTCCCTGACCCTGCTCTTGGATCTTCACTGGAACTTGGCACCTGGCTGTCTGATTCTCTTGGTTTCTGACCTCATTTTGCACCCTGAACTATACCTCATGGAACTTAGCTCCAGTGTCCCAGACCCTAACCTGACAGCCTGGTAACCTGCACCCCTACCCAGCTGACTTCCTTGTTGCTCTCTGGGGACCCATCCCAGCTGAAATCTTACACAAGGTATGGACCTGTAACTGAAGATCACGACTGTGTTTCTTCATTTTAGGATAAATGACACTACCAAGTTTGCATTAGAACAGATTAAATATGATTCTGCCAGATCAAAAGGTGGCTCTCATGATCTTCAGTGGAATTCTTCTTTTCTTGGTCCATACAAAAGGAGGGTGACAGTTTAAAAAAATTAATGAAAATCAACAGGACTGGTGCTACAGATAAGGTTTGGGGATATGTGCACAGCAGAAGGCATTCAGAGAATGATGACACTCCTCAAATGCTGAACTCCTCTAAAGGACCCATGATACTAGACTTTTGGGATCAAGGCTGGTAACTAATAAGAAAAAGCTTTGAACCAAGAAATGGGGGAGAAATTTTATGGACTTCCCATGACTAAAACATAAGGTAAAGGAACACCAGAAGTAGGTGTAAAATGGTGATCCAATCCCTTTAAGGAGGAATGGTTAACACTTTCAAGAAAGTGTAGCTTTGCCATTGGGCATTTGGGTAAGCAGAAAGTATCCCACTGGGAGCTCCCAGAAAAGTATGTAAAAGGAGAAGGAAGCAATCTATGAAAGGAACAGCTTGCTGCAAGAAGGGGTCAAGCAGCTGTGTTGGGGCCCCAAAAAAGTGGGGATCCCTTCCTAGTGTCCAGGACAGGGCAGAGAGTGTTTTGCTTGTTTATTTAAAAGACCAAACTTTGCTTTAGTGGACTTACTGAGAATCTTCTCAAAGAACAAATTCCTCTGCAAACTAGCAGGCTAAGCAACCTTACAGTAGGAATTTGGATAGCCAGGAGAAAAAAAAAATTAAATCAGCTCATCTATTACTGAGAAGAACAATAGCCAGGCATCCAATATTGTTAGCAACAGCAGTATTCCATCTGGTAAGGAAACTGAGTGACATTGGGAACATTTGTAAATGAATGCAAAGAATATGAGCAACAAATTGGTAGAATGAGAACTACTTCTGTTGAATTTAAAATTGGCCCTTATGGAGGTAACAGAAACTGAATGGAACAGCACCCAAGTACTGCAATACTGATGATAAATAGAAATAAACAAAGATAGTTGAAAAGCATCTTACATTAATTATGTAATAAACAAAAAAGGAATAAGAAGAGATAGAATAAATCAAACATAACCTATTTAGGTCCAAACCACTCCAGATCCAAACATTGGACTGGACTGCCACAGATCCAATTATTTTATACGTGACAATTTTTCCTAAAAATGTCAGATAAGGAATTTTTGTCAATGTAATTTAAGCAATATAATCGGGTTTTTTTCAACTTTGAACTGATACTAAAACTTCACTCGCCTTTCTCCTTCTTTTATCTTGTTTTTCATTTCTACCTGTCAAGAGTCCTTGTATACAACCCTGTAAAGCCATATGCCTTCAATCTACCTCTCACTGGGCAAGTCTACACAAGATGCCAACTGTGCAGCAGACAAATAATACTACATGCTAGCGCATCACAGCATGGGCAGTGCTAATATGGTGCTGCACAGTTATTAGGCTACTGCACAGTAACTCTGGTTGTTACTGCACATTTATTTAGTACTTGCTAATAAAAGTACTAAATAAATGTGCAGTAACCACTGCACAGTAGTATCTTGCGTAAACGTGTCCACCGAGGAACTTTTTTGATACTCTGTATAAAGGATGCTACATAAAGTGTACTCTATTTTACTGCCTGAAACTACTAACTTTTATAGATTTAATTTAAAAATAAATCGAGGTAGTTAATAAACTTAAAAATATAAGGCTGCATTAAACTTGGAATGTTTTATGAAATCTGCTGACTATGGTTTAAATCAGTAATCAAATGATACTGAAGATCTTCAGATCTGATTTTAAAGACTAAATATATACATTTTTAAACATCTTTTCTAGCAACATAGAATTAACTTGCCAAAACATATCTACTATGGCACATACCTAGAAAATACACGGTTACATTTTTTAAATCTCAAATTCAGTTTTAATGTTAACCCATCTACCAACTATGTCAGCAATCCAAAAGAACGTAGTGAAAATACCTTATCTGTAAGAAGTTGGGCAAGATTTCGATGTTTTCTTGCTAGATATTGATCATATAACTGAGCCAGTTTTGCTGCCAGAACATGCTCACGACTAAAACAAGGATGATGGGTGAATATTAACCCAGAAATATCTATGTCCATTTGAAACTGGCCCTGAGGATCCCCAGAGCCAACAATATATTGGTTCGCAGGCATCAGTTTTATTGCCTGAAAGAAAAGAAAAGATTAAAATTGTATTGTGAGATTATTCTGAAAGATACATTAAACAATGGAAAGATGATCCCATGATAGGCAATAACCTAATAATTCTAATCTGTTTCAACAATACAAAATTCATAGAGGATTCATAGATGCTAGGGTCAGAAGGGACCTCAAAAGAACCATCAAGTCCAAACCCCTGCTAGTGGCAGGAAAAGTGCTGGGGTCATGTGACCCCAGCCAGGTGCTTTTCCAGTCTCCTCTTGAAGACCCCCAAGGTATGGAGAGCACCACCTCCCTTGGAAGCCTGTTCCAGATTCTGGCAACCCTAACCATGAATAAGTTATTTCTGATGTCCAATCTAACCTACTCTCAATCAGCTTGTGGCCATTGTTTCTGGATGTTCCAAGGGGCGCTCTGGTAGACACAGCATTACCTATTTCCTGCTGCTTCCCAGCCAGTGAATATATATACTACCACAAGATCCCCGCACCAGTCTTCTCTTGCAGAGGCTGAAAAGATCCAGGGACCTCAGCCTTTCCTTACAAGGGCTTCCCTGCAAGCCTCTAACCATATGAGTGGCCCTCCTTTGGACCCTCTCAAGATTGTCCACATCCCTCTTGAATTGTGGCGCCCAGAATTGGATGCAGTACTCTAGCTATGGCCTAACCAGTGTCACATACAGGGAGATCATCACCTCCCTGGACTTGGTCATGCACCTACTAATGCATGACGAAGTGCAGTTAACTCTGCTAACCGCTTAGTCACGTTGATGACACATTCATCTTGAAGTTGACAATGACTCCAAGATCTCATTCTGCTGCTATGCTGCTGAGAAGGTCATCCCTCAGCTTATAGGTGTGCTGGTGATTCCCTCTCCCTAGGTGCAGCACCTTGCACTTTTCCTTGTTAAACTGCATCCTATTGTTCTCTGCCAACTTCTGTAACCTGTCCAGGTCCTGGTTTGGTTTCTTCCCATCAGTGTGTTTCTTTGCCCCATAGTTTGGTGTCATCTGTGAACTTGAACAGAGTGCCTTCTATGACCTCATCCAGGTCGCTGATGAAGATATTGAACAGCACCGGCCCAAGGACCAAGCCTTGGGGGACCCCACTGCTCACATCTTTTGAAGCAGATAACGACCCATCCACCATCACTCTCTGGGTATGACCCTTAAGCCAATTTGCCACCCACCTGGCTGTGTAATCGCCTATGGCACAGCCATTCAATTTGTTTATAAGAATAGGATGGGGTACTGTATTGAAGACCTTCTTAAAGTCCAAGTTGTATCTTGTTTATCAAAAATCACGTCTGAGAATTCAGGGTTACAGATCCACAAACAACCCTTCCAGCCTCTTCCAAAAAAGCAGAACTCAATCTGTCCACCCATGGTATGAGTGAGCTAGCTAACCCCTCCTGGAAACCCTGCCAAAGTACTCCCAGGGTTAATTCTATCATTTAACTAGACTTGGCAGAATTCGATTTTCATTTTTTTCTTATAATTTTGACAGCTTGAAAAAAAAAAAAAAATCAACGTTCGTTATTAAAACACTTTTTTTTGCTTAAATTTCAATCGATTTTAATTTTTCACAGTCCTGAAAATTTGAGGTGCTGGGAGCAGACAGTTTAGTAATGACAATATACTGTTAAAAACAAAATCACATGTCAAAATATAAAAAGTAAATTTTTTATAAAAAGAAAGCAGCCCCTCTCCACCCCATGCCTAGCACCCCAGCTACTCACAGCCTGCCTGGTGCTGCCTGTGCCTGCTCTGGACATCCCCACATGGGTTGTGAGCACCTGCAGCGCAGAGCGCTGGCCATGGGGTGGGCGAGGGGCCACTTTTCTCCACGCAGGGAAGGACCCCAGGGAAAAGCTGAGTGTGGGGCGGGGGGGGCCGGAAGCGGCCCCTCCCCCGCCCCACGCTGCAGATGCTCACAGCCCGCATGGGGCTGTCTGCAGCGGACATAGGCAGCCCCACACAGGCTGTGAGGAGCTGCAGCGCGGGACACTGGGCATGGGCAGGGAGGGAAGTGGGAAATGTGGATGTTAATCCCTTCAGGCTGAGGAGGGTCTAGAACTCAAATTTCCCATTTCTTGGAAAGTCACCTTGCCACTAGGTTACTGGGCAAAAAGTAGACACTGCAATTCACTTAGGCAACTGTGCTAAGAAGCAGGGCTAGGATTGTGGATTCCAGGTGAACAGAAGCACCTAATATGGATCCTGAGCCAGGTATCAGACTCCTGAGACAGTGCGAGTTCCCTATGCTAAGCATTTTCTAGTGCCAGATGCATCTAATTCCACCTCCTCTTGCAGCAGAGGCTGGAAGACCCATTAGTAGATCCCTGGAACTGGACTGGATGGAGAATAACGTATTTGTAATTGGTCTGTAGGAGTAGCTAGTGGGCAATTCTGAAATCACTTCCAAAACTGCAGTCAGAAATATTCCCAAGAGGCAACTTAGATCATATACTAAAGTATCATTGCTTCTTCTCAATGCTCCAACAGAAGCATTAAAATATTAATGATTAGGATTTAAAACCTAGCAAAAACTGCTGAAAGGTTTAACTGTTAAGGAACAGCATTTTCCAAGCAGATGCACAGACAAGACAAAACAGATTTGTACTGAGTGAGGCATCAACTCATTAAACATCTGTGAGTGGCTGTGGGATCCTTGCACTTATCACATGTGAAGTTGGTGTCTAACTCCTGAATGTGATGCAGGATTCTTCCTGAGGTTTCTTCTTACTACTGTATATTAGGCTCTTCTTTCTTTAAAAGCTTCCACTCCACAATTAATCAATTGTTTTCCAGCGCTTTGATCTTCAGCAGTCTTCTCCCAATCATTTGGCTAAATGTTCATTGCCTTCACATCTCTCTTGCAAACATCTTTGAAAAGCTCACAAGGGTTCCTGCATGGTCTCCTTTGTGTAAAGAATTCTCCATACAAAATATCCTTAGGTATATGGTATAGCCATATCAGTCCAAAAATACACTTTATACACAAGATCTTGAGTTAGAAATTAAGTGTATGCATATACCACTTCAGAACTGTCAGAGCTCATGTATTAACTTTTGAAATGGAAATAATAATGGAGCTACCATTATTAGAATGGGAGAATAATAAACTCTTTTTCAGTTTCATAAGGTAATGAATGTAAAGAATGTATGGTATGCCTCAGTACAGCACTCTAAAGTGGTGTGGATATGCCACAATGTTCTCTTTCACGACACACACATTTACCTATATCTATACTGACTGAAATCAGAAGTTTCTGGGTCATATTCTAGGATTCTCAGTGCCTCACTAACTGGAACCATTCTAAAAATTAGTTTGTGATATATTGTGGGATCACTCGTTTGTCCTATCCACTACTACTGGACAAGCTGTTTCTGCTTCTGACTTCATTACTGCAGCAAGTTATAGATGGATTTAGTCTACAGGACAAAACCAGTTTGACACTCCTGAACTTGGGGGTGGCAAGGGAGTGCTATCTAAACAAGAGTTCAGCTACATGTGCTTAGGCTGCATCCTCACAAGGGGAACAAGTCTAAGCCTACCTTAACCAAAACAAGGATTTCAATCCATACCTCAGTCAGGCAGGTAAACACAAGTTCTCAGCACATACAAGTACAGGCTTATGGATTTGTAAGTGACTTGTAGGGGTGGAGATAAGCTAAAACATATATAAAAATACAGGATAAGGCTGCATTCCTACAATAAAGGTATTTATGGGTGTACAGTAATCCATACTAAAATGATGTCATAGTAACAGAATATACAAAATACCTTTCTATATACTGTTTCCAGTTCTGGTTTTATTCCTTCTTCCAATGAAAATATTGGAGGCCTTGTGGGAGATGGCTTAATCGGATTGGGCAATGCTAAGATATTGCCATCATCTCCAAACCATGCTTTCCCCTATGAATAATGAAGTAAAATTAATTTTTTTGCAATTTTTTTTTATCAGAAAATGACTTGCAAAATTACAATTATTTCAGAGACTGAGATCCCACTGTTTAGGAAACAGTTTGATTTTAATTCCTTTTCTTTTAAGAAGCTACCTAACAAAAATATAAAAACATGAGTAACTTATATGGACACCCTCCTCCAGGCTTTAGATTAATGGTTCTCAATCTTTTCAGACTCAAGACACCCCTTGATAGACTGAAGGCACCCTTCATTAGACTCAAGACACCCTCCCATAGCTGTAGAAGTGAACAGCACCCCATTTAAAAAAAAACTTACCTCTTTGGAGAGGGGCTAGGCAGTGGGGGCAAAGTTGTGGGGAAGAGGCTGAGCCTGCACTTATCTGCTTATCTCACCACACCTCAGATCATCCTTCAAAGGATCTTGCATCACCCTTGGGTACCCTGTCACTATGGTTGAGAATCACTGCTTTAAATGGTTCCAAGATAAAAATTTAAGCATATTCTGGTTTATTTAGAAGCTTCAAGCATCTGAAGGATCCAGACTGACCCCTGTCTATGTTGACAATTTTTTCAACACTGCACATGTTAAGAAAAATGCTAGTGTAGGAATTAAAATAGTGTATTTCCAGCCCAGTCTGGGCCCCCCCATGAGGGACCATGTGGCCCAGGAGAACCAGTGGAAGTTCTTGATAGGGCCTTCCTACTTCCCCTGGAGCTTTGTATTGGCAACAGCATTTGTAACCTTATTTGGGACACTCCTGCCTTCCTCCTCGCTTACTTCTACTGCGGACGGTGCTGCCTACCCCAGCCATATTCCTGTCTTGCTTCAGTCTTGCTCAAGCTTTTTACCCTTGTATCTTTTTCCTGCCTCATGGTTGCCTCGACCTCTGGCTTGACCTGAAGCATGAACTCATTTCAACCCCAGACTCATCTCAACATCCACTGGGATACCTCAGACTCAAACTGACACCTAATAATGTGACCTGCTTTGGCTTCTGGACTTCTGGTATTGTTGACCCTTGTCCAGGATGTACCCATGACAAATAACTATCGGACAAGAACAGTAGGCTATGCCTGAGGCAGCAAGTGAGCTACTGGCAGTATCCTGATGTGGAAGAAACATGTTATTTACAGGAACTTATTTAAAGAATTACATACGGTAAAGAACAAAGTTTTGTTGTTGCCCTTGCAAGGGTCTGGGACCTAACCTTGTGTGAAACAGAGTAAGTACATAGTGTTTCCAGGAGAACAGGAAGTGTGGCATCCCAAGAGATGGTTAGAAAGTTCCTGTTGCTTAACCCAGATTATCTCCTGGGGTGACACTTCCTGGATGCTCTATGTTCCCAGGAAGTCCTACTCTATGTCACATATTCAACCAGGATTCTGTACAAAATAAGACTTTTTTTATTCTGCCTTCCAAAAAACAAGGTGCGTTACACATGAGAAAAATGTATGCTTTATTTGGGGGTGTATTGTTTGAGAGAAAATAAGGTATATGCTTCCTTCAATCATAACAATTACTACAAGAATTTGACTAATTATTAGGTCTGAATCATGAACACTCCTATATAGATGACAAAGTACATTCACCATAAAATAAATATTAGCAATAATGTAACAGTAACTTACCTGCTCCTGTCTGATTATTCTATTTTCCAGGATGTTTTGATTAGAGAATGACACAGTGGGCCTTTCTCCTGTATAAAGACCCTCATCCTCAAGGTACCTTGGCTGCATGTTTGTAGGCACCTTCTGAGAAGCAGGCACTAAAGTACAAACATATCCAAATTTATAAGACTCATAACTGGAGATCTAAGCTTTGCAAAGTCCTATACTGTCTTCTAAACAACAATTGATAATTTGCTGCTGTAATGCACATACTTTGAAAGTGTTGAGACTGAAATGTTCCTTTTAATAAAAAGGATTATTAATTTTGTATGTGTATTATATATATGCATGGATAGATCCAAAGGGGGAGGTGCAGTGGCAGAGTTGCAATCCCCACACCATTTGATTCTTGCTCCAAACTTTAAAAATCAGCATTTCTATTCAGGCAGCACTGAGGGAGTCAACTGACTTCATATCTGATGTATTCTACCTGATTATTATTAATCTTTCTTCATTCCACAGGTGTTAACAACCCTTTCCTTTTTAATGCTCTTGATGTTCCACTATTGAAGAAGAAAGAATCATTTCAATTTTGCTATTTGTTAGACACCACCAGGAATGGGTTTCTTCTAATTCACAGTCCTACAGACTGTTTTTAACTCTACCTAAAATCTTTAATTCAGGTGTGTTAGTACCTCAAGTGTAGAAATGACTGACAGTGACGTACTGGAAGCACTCTCAAGAATGCAGGGAGGCTAGTTTGGAGTGGGGGGTGTTGTTGTTTTTTTCCCTACAAGTCATAATAAGCGACATACATTAAGCTATAATAACCACAGAACTAATGAGGCAATATAATTTGACTATGTTTTGCCTGGCTTGTGCTTTTTACACACAATATCTAATCTAACAAATCACTGCACAATAAAGTTCAGTACTGTTCAACATAAACTCCAATAAAGTTATATTAGCTTTTGCTTGGATCTTAAACTGAATAAAATAGTGACAGATCCCTCATGTATTAGTCAAGCTTTTCATTTCTGTTTAACTGAAGAAAAGGAGTGTCCCGTGTTATATGTGATGGTGTGCCACAACACATGCACTCCCCTTTTCCAAATTCTAGATCTGCCCATGTATATATGCATGTATGTATGTATACATAAAAGCACATGTATAAATAGGGACCTACCTAATTTGCAGCAGAAGTGGAGTGCACAGCAGCTCCTTCAATCTTGCAGGTTTCCCTATGTACCCCCCTCCCATCACTGATTGACAGAGGGACCCCACTGCTCCCCACTTGCTCCTGATCAGCAGGGAAGTGAAAACTGTGGTTTTAAATACGGTGCCAGTTTTGCCTCCCGCTACTGATTGGCTGAGGGGCCCGCAGTGGCCCTCATATATATCTGTTGACATAGTATATAGACAACACACACACAAGGAGCTCTCATTTCCATAAGCAGGACAGATCTTTAGCACAGCTTTATAAGAATACTTAGCATGCTTTGTACACATTAAACAATAATATATCATTACTGATAATACTTAAAGGGACTTCATTTTAGAGCAGTGGTTCTCAGCTTTTTTAGTATCACGGCACCCCTCAGAAATGCAACTTCTTAGTTTAACTTATTTTTTGATTACGGAAAAACAAAAGAATAATTTTTTCTGTTGCAAAAAACTCAGAGAGACCATAGCAGATCAGAATGGTTTTAACACTATGGATTCTTATTTGAAATCTCTGGGTTTATCTTGTTGACCTTGCTTGCACAACTAACAGTGCTATCACTGTGTGGCATTAATGGCACTCTTGAAAGGATCGCAAGACACCCCAAGGTGCTGTGGCACCCTGTTTGAGAATCCTGGTTAAGAAGGGTTACTTAATTGTTGCAACTGGAGTTACAATAATAATATAATGCTATCTAATAAGCAACAGAAGGGGGAGCCTTGTATACCTGTTCTCATACTGGGAATGAAGAGAACGTCTCTTTCCTTCTTCAGTTGCTCAGAATAGCTTTCATAACCTGCAGGTTTTACTACCAGAAAATCACTGACTGTCTGTTCTATTAGGAATAACTCATCTTCTTTAACAAGGTGATCCTCTTCATCCTATATTTCATATAAAGGAAAATTATTAGCTGGCAGTTGAACCTGCTCTTCTTTTTTTTAGTATTAAACGCTAAGCTGGAGAACATTAATGTCACCAGTTTGCATGCCAACAGAAAAAAAGCATGTCTTATTTAAGCTATCTTCTAGCTGTAAAGCACATTATTTATCTTCATACGCTGAAACGATCCAAGTCAACTTCATTATCCTCAAGCTGCCGCCAGACAACTATTTATTATTAAAATAAAATAAAATTCAGTTCATTTTAACAAAATGTTTAATGTATTAATAAACGTGTTAATTAGGGCCAGATTCTGCCATGCTTACTCATTCTAAGGAATATATTACTCAAGCAATCCTTTTGGAATGAACAGAAAAACTTGTGAAGAAAGATTGCTCGATCTGTTATCAACTTTGATCTTTTTACTTTATACCTTTTCATCTGGTTTTTACACTGTCTTGAAACAACCGCCTCTAATATTATTTCTCCGATCTCTTTGGTAAACCTTGAACAACTTTTGCACAAAGTCTATTGATTTTTTCACTTTACAAAGGAATGATTTTTTTCTCATTTAAGCCTATGAAGTTTTATTAGGCTTCTCTATCAAGAGCATTAATTATTTTATAAAACTATTAAGGAAGATGTATTTTGCTATTGGAGAAAAAGCACTAATGCAATGAAATCAGATTCTACTTAGTACCTGGGCCACAGGTTTGAAATTTTAAATGGGTTTATATTGACAAATAGTTGTATTTAATCTGTAATAATAGATACAAAGTATTAGCTATTAGTATAATTCAGGAAAACAAATAACAGGACATATTTTCAAAGCACTGAGGCATGAGAGTGATGCCATGTGGAAAGGCTGTCAAAATCTGAATGCAAATCTTCCAAAAATCCTACAGTTACTGGTTTTAATTAGAAAACAATTCAATTTATCAAAATGGATGCACAAAATTAGTTAGCATACAGTAACCTGGCTAAAAATATGTTCTCTGATACCATTTCATCATCATCTTGTTCCTCCTGATGGCTTATTTCAGATTCTTGTTCTTCCACCTCTTCCTCCCGATTGGATTCTCTATCTTTCTTGCTCTTGGTCTCATCCTTTATATTCTCTGGTTCAGGATCAAAATTGAATGTAAAAAAATTATATGCTTCCTCTGCAGAAGGAAAATCACTCTGGACCTAAGGTGAAAGGCCAACATTTACTTAAGATGCTTACAGCTGTTTTAGTAAAAATAGAAGTATTCTCACACAAAAATTACCAGGGACATTTATAAATAACATACTGTAGCATTTTAATTAATTTAAAAAAATAGGTCATATAAATGCTAAAACTGACTAAAATAAAACATCTGTTAACTAGTTTATATACCAAACTCTTTAACCTTTAATATATTTACTACATAATAAATGATTTATTGTAATGCTTTTAACATTAATTAGTTCAATTTTAGTTTGCTCATCTCTTCCAACACAAACATGCTTGTGAAAATCTCAAATACATCTTTTGTATTGTGGCTGTAAAAGCTATAGCCCTGCATGTTGAGAATAAAAAAATATATATAAATAGCAGTTTCTGGATAAATTCTGCCCGTAAAGGACAAAGGCAAGAAAAATACTCCTTTGGATGTTAAGGGGAACACAATGAGAACACTATTAATAACATTTTGTTGCCACATGCAAAGAAAAGCCTGGCTGATTTACCTATAGAGTTCAGTTTGCTGTTGTTCCATTTCCCTGCCAGCATCCCTTACCCATTATGATGAATAGTAACAACTGGATAATTCAGAATTATTTGCACTTCCCTTGGACGAGTGCATTAACCAGAGGTTATTGTTTTATTAAAAAAAAAAAAAAAAATCACTGAGACTGCCAAATGATGGCCTATGTTAGAGAAATTTGTCTGATAACCAATAAGAAATGCTATGGGCCCAGTTGCATCTCAATGACTGTTAGTTTTCTTTTTTCAGTCATTGTTGTTATTTTTTTCAATGTTACGGTTTATATTTGAATTGTAGGCATCTATTCTTAAATTGTGAATCTCTTAAGGCCTATAATAATGAGGAGGGTATTTTAAAAATTAAGGTCCCAAATCCTGCTGGCTGCTGCATGCAGAGTAAAGGCAACACAAATTAAAGAAAATGATCCTTACATGTGGCTTCTGCTTGAGTTTGAAAGAATCACGAAACTTTAATCTTGAAGGTATTTGGGGTTTGTCTTCTTGTATCTCCCTTGGTCCATCTTTATATGACTGCATATAAACAACTTTTTAGTTATGTGAGTTATTTAGACACCCAACAAAATGAAGACATTGACTAACTGAGCATACAGATAACTATTGTATACTGACAGTTAAAATTCTGGCTTTTCTATGCCATGCTGAATTTTCTACACAAGATCATTCAGGTGCAGATTTCAACATTCTTTTTAACCAGGATAATAGAAATTCTTTTTTGTTCATGCAATAATATACTGTAAAGATATCAGAAGCAAAATTTTATACAAGATGTTGTTTTTATATATTAACCTGAAAACTAGAATCTCTCTCAGCTTTCTAAAATTCCCCAAATCATAAACTTCAAAATATGAGTCATGCACATCCATGAAAAGAAAAACCAAAAAAAATACTGGATAAAATACTGGCTGCACTGAAGTCAATGGCAAAATTCCCACTGACTTCAAGTGAAGTCCTGGCTCCATTAAAGTCTAAACAAAGAAGTTTAAACTGAAAAATACTGAAACCCTGGACATAAAAATGGGCACCATAAATATTGAAAGAAAAAAACCCTGCAGTTTTTAGATAGTTGTAAACCATAAAATATTTTTCAGAAAAGCAGAGGGCTGTCACACACTGAACAATCCAAATTAACTAGGGCAAACATGAGGATATATTTTTTTCAAATGCGACAGTTATACCTGATTATGTGGTTTTGATACTGTATTATAGCTACTATGGTGACAGCAATTTATGAAAAGTATAAACGGAGAAGCAAAACATATTTGAGGTATTTCAAAATGAGCCCTATACGGAAGTTGATAACTATCAGTAAGCATGGATAGCACTTCCACAATTTAGTAAGTTGTCCACAAAAAGACAATACTGGCCTGGCAGCTAGTAAACACCCGTTTTCATCATTGTTTAAAAAAAAATATATACACATACACACACATACATACACACACACACATATGTGTGTATGCATGTGTATGTATATATTTTTTTAAAACATACACACACACGTACGCACGGACGCACGCACTTTCCCCCCAAACAAAGAAGTTTTAGAGTGAATTTACAATTTGATTTGAACCATGTTAAATTACACTCTTGAAAATTACAGTATAAAAATTTTAGGGAACTGGTAAAATATCCATTAACTTTTATGTTAGATATTTTTCTTTAATAAAAAAAGATTGTGTCCAACTAAAAAGAATTACGGTTAATACAAAATGCCGATAATGAAATACAATGCCTAAAAAGTGATTCAGAGCTGTTCAGCTGTTATAGCACTGTACCTTTACATAAAGCTTTAGCTTTATTTATATAACCTCTCACAGAAATTATATAAAGCTATACCATTTATACATAAAATGGTATCTTTAGTCAAAATACAGCCATATTTCAGATAATTAAAAAAGTTAAAAATGACAGGGACACAAAAATCTGGAATGCCTAATCACTGTGATAGATGCTTCCTTGCTAAAAGAACAGAATATTCGGTATTGTACATTATGGGCACTGAAAGCACGGATTGGGAAAGCTACTGTTAACTACCAGACTCTTTAAAAAGTGACAACTCCACCCTTTTGAAAGATAAGCTATGATACTGATCAAATGTAACAGGTGTTGAATATTTAATAGTTATGTTTTATCTTTGGTTTTTGCACTATGACACTATAGAACACATACTCACACCCTGTTTCTCACCTCTTCATGCAATACGGTTTCTGATTCCCTCTCTCTGAGGCTTTTTATACAGCGTGGTGGGAGACTGGGGACTTCTTGCAACAAAGCACTTTCTGCTTTAGACTGAGAACCCCCCCCCCAAAAGGTTTGGTTATGTCACATATAAGTAAATATTACAATCAATCCCAGCAGCTTCAAAGTCTTATTACATGTGAATATTGTGACACTCTTAACTATAGAATCAGCTTAAATGATTAAACAGAGCAACATTTTGCTACCCTTTATTATACATTAACTTTAATTCAGAAAAAACAATGATTGCAAAAAGGACCTTAACATTCTAAAATTCTGCATAAACATGGTAAAATCTGGCTTATAATACAAATAATAAGATTTTTTTCCAAACAACTGTAATTTCTAAGTTTCAAACAAGAATCAAATTAACTTTTTAGAAAATAATACAGAATTAGATATGGGGGCGGGTAGAACCCATGGATATAAAAAATAACATCCTTAGAGTACAAAAAGCATCTGTAACTCACTTTTGTGGAGCACTAAGTAAGTAAAATGTGGTAGATGCAATAAAATTTTTATAAACGCTTACCCTTGCAGCTTTTAATTTCTCTCTCATTCGTTCCCTAATGGAAAATTCAGCAAAGCTTGTTCTTGATAAAGAAGGAACAGGTGGCAAGCCTGAAACAGGGAAGTTACAATAATAAGTTTACTACTACAGTTCTTTGTGGAGGAATCAAGAAGTGTATAGTTATTTTAATAGCTTTTTACAGAATTGGAAAATTCCAATTTCTAACTGAAAGGCCCCATATGAAAAAATATGAAAAGATATACATGTGCTTTAACTTAATGAAACAAGTTTTGATTTCTATGTTTTCGACTAGCAATTGAAAGTCTTCAGTCCAGCTGGATCTACCTACCAAAATTAAAATTAATGAGAACTGACCTATCCAAAGTACTTCATATTTCCATTAAAGGAATGAAGCCGATGTGCTCTCATTTCCATTGATGGAAATGTTAAATGGGTTTGTAAGTAATTGATGGTGATTAAATAACATACTGAAAACTCCCAAAATAAACACTAAAGTTAGAGAGAAATGTTAGTCTTTACTCGAGTCAGTTATATTATTCAAATATAATAATGTTGAATCTATTACATTTTAATAATATAATAATACTGTAATGAATTAAAACCTTGATTTTTCTTTTACCATAACCCTAGAAATAATCTAGGTAATCATCTTCAACCTTTTCAAAATAAGATGAATAAATATATTACTATTAATTAAATTAAACAAACCAAGATTAATATATTTGCTGATCCCTGATTTTAGTATTCTTGTATACCATCTTCTGGCTTCTTCAAAGCTTCAATCCTGTTATGTCCTGTCATTGCCTTGTGTTACAGAATAATACAGAATCCCAGGGATCAAACTCATCTGACTGTGAGGCCCCCTGAAAGCTGGATCAGGACCCGCCTCCAGCAGCAGCTCTAGTTGGGGTCTGAGCTCCTGTGTCAGCACAGGGAGACATCAGGACTAATGAAGACATCACTGATCCTGCCACAATCAAATGCATCTCCAAAGGTGCTCCGTACCCTAGAATCCAGCAGCAAGCCCCACCTGCACTCATCTTTAGGAGCCCCACAAGTCAGATAACATGACTCCACAGGGTGGATCTTTGATACCTGCACAAAATAGGGATGGATGCTTGTGGAGATATATACTTAACTTCAGTTCATCTGCACTCCCATTAGCTTCACTTACGATTAAGCCATGACATATTGACAGATCTAGGACTTTGAATGTTCAGAATTAATTCCAGTAGTGTTGGGGTGATGTTGGCTGGAGAGAAGCTGAACTGGGAGGGGGGTGGCCAGGCCCTGCCAGCCCACCAAGTATGACTGGGGAAGAGTTTAAACCCCTACTGTGGCCTGCAAGGACCTAGCTGGGGTGTGCCTGGAGGGGGAAGGGAGAAGCAGCCCTTTCCAGGTTTGTTCCCCAGTGGCAGGGGGCATGGCCAGCCAGGGCCTCAGCAGTGCCTCAGGCTCAGGTAGAAGGGAGGGAAAGGAATTAAACACCCTCCCTCCCCTCCACCTGAGCCCAAGGCGCTGCCCAGGCCGCCAGCTGGCCACAACTCCTGCAGCTCAAGCAGCCAGCGGAGGGGAAAAGCTGGCAGACCCCAGCTGGGGTCCCATGTCAGTGAGAGGGGAGGCAGGGGAGTTTAATCCCCCTCCCTCCCAAGCCCAAGGCGTTGCCCAAGCTGCTGGTGGGTCACGCCCCCTGCCACTTGAGTGGCCAGCAGGGGGGTCCTGTGCAAGTGGGAGAGGGCAGGCAGGGGGTTTAATCCACCTCTTAAGCAATCCCCTGTCCCATGGCCCAACCCCCTCCAGCAGGGAAAATCCTGCCATGCCCCCACCAGGCAGACTGGGCTGGGTCCCCAGCTGGGTTTCCTACCGTCACCCCCTTGTCAGGCAACCCTCAGTGCTCTGGCTACAGAACAGAGGGGCAGGGCCAACCATGCTCTGCTCGAGCAGACAGCACAGCCCAGCCCAGGCCTGCAAATCATCCTGGGATGCTGGGGGACTGTGGATTTAACTTGTACCAGGAAGGGGTCAGGGACAGAAGTTTCATAAACTGGTTTACCTAAATCAGTTAAGTCTGATGCTACATTCAACCAGGTTTATCGTGAACTAGTTTCAGCCATTTCGAAACTGGTTTACGTGCACTGAACTACTGTTCTGTTAAAGGTTTAAACCAGTTTCTGATCATTTCAAAGTAACTTCTGTCCCTAACCATAATGTCCAGGAAGTATGCAAGGGGCAAGAATTCTTCTGGGTGGTATCTTTGTCTATACCAACCATACACATGGGCCAATAAAAAAAAAAATAAAGTCATCCACAAGATTTTTGCCTCTTACAGAGTTAAAGCTGAAGCACAGTTAGAACAGCAAAGATCAGAAAAACAATCATTTTTACACATCCACTTTTTGTATTTAGCCATATCTGTTTGTTTTAACTGAACTCTATCATAGAATCTTAAATAATTTTAGCACTAAATTCCAACATAATGATGACAGTAAGATAAGAATCTATTCTGACTCAAGTATGACCAACAGAATTGTTAATGAACTTCCGATTTCAACTGTCCCATCAAAGTCAGAGTTTCAGAGCTGAAAGTGAGGACAAGACTGGACAATAAGAACCTCTGTAACTGCTGATGATGCATAAGACACTGATCAGGAAAGAACAGTTTGACTTTTAGATTGCAAATTCAGCTCGTGTGACTGGAAGTTAGAAAAAACTTTAAAGTGAGGGATTTTCTTTGAACTTTTTTTTGAAAAATAAGAAACACCATATAAATATGAAATTAGCAAAACAGGCACAAAGCAAGGTTTCCTTTCCAAATTTTAAAACAACAGCTTAGGAAATCAGTCATCAGGCAACTATAAGACATGAATTTCAAGTGGTTTAATACTTGTAAAATTGTTTCCAGGGGCAAATGCAGGGGCATGCACTGGTATACTTGCACTCCCCTTTGATTCCTGCTCCACCCAAAGTTTAAAACCAATTGCCTGAGAGGTAGCAGCATTTCTAGTGAAGACAGTGCCAAAGGAGTCCCTTGACTTCATGATTCATTATCTACCTGATCCCTTGTAAACTCTTAATTCCACTGGTGTTAATGACCCTCTCCTTTTTAATGGTCTTGATGTTCCACCAATCAACCTATACTTTCTTCTTCAATCCTGCTGTCTGCTAGCTACTCCTGGTAATAAAGCTCCTATTTCACAGCCCCACAAATGGTTTTTAACTCTTTCCAATGAAGTTGTATTTCTTTTTGCTTCAACCTTAAACTGCATAATGAAGCCCTAAGTCTCTAGAATATTAGTAAAGCTTCCAGTTAATTTTTAACTGGAAAAAAAAAAAGTGTGCGCTGTTTTTATATGTGATGATGCACTACATCATCTGTACCCCCTTTTTCAAAATTCTACATCCGCCAACAGTTGTCTCTAATATTGATAAATATTTTTGTACTAGAAGGTACATCCTGTGGCAAAAAAATTTCTAAATTTGCAGTTCCAGGAAAGCTCATCTTTAACACTGAGGCACAATTTATAGCAGTGATTCTCAAACATAGTGCTAGGTGCACCTTGTACCACTGCTACATATCCCTGGGGAATGCCTACGCCACGCGCACTTTGGTGTGCAGCTAGTTACACCGAATGGAGTAAGGGAGGCTGGGGGACCAGGGGTCAAAAAAAACCTGCGGGTAAAAAATTTGGAGCAGCGCATGCATGGGCAGCACTCCCTTGCAGCACGGAAAACACTGAACTACTGACTGCATGGTATATGATGCCATAGATGTGTTTGCGGCACTACATACCGCATGGCCGCGTTTGTCTGGATGTGCCCAGAGATTTCAAATAAGAATCCAGAGTTTCAAACACACTTCTAGCCTATTATGGTTTTTGTTATTCTCTGCAACAGAAGAACTGCTCTATTGTTTTTTCAGTCAAAAAGAGTGAAAGCCAAGAGCTGGCATTTTCCAATGGGGACCTTGAATCTAGAAAGGCTGAAATTTCTTGAATCTAAAAAGGTTGAGAAGCACTGGCCAAAGGAAGTAATGCCCTATTCTGATCAGAGAAAAAGGGTATTCACTAAAAGACAGCTGCTGGAACATGCAAGATGCAAGCCTGTCCTAACTGAAGTCAGAAGGATTTTTTTCCCATTGATTTCAATGGAGCCAAGTTTTTAAACTTAGTCCCACAAAATGTCTCCATGTTAAAAATTAAGTCCATCTACATTCTTCCCAGTTTTACACGAAGTCTTGTATACTTGTTCTGTTAGCTGATTACAGCATATTTACTGGGTCAGATCCCAAGGAGGAAAAAAAGTGTTCCAAGTGATGATTATAGCATTAAGAGCCCTATTCAAAATATACTGCAGTGTACAAATAGCCAAAAAACCCCAAAAATAAAAACCCTCTAAAGAGAGAATACCAAATTCACCAGTAAGGATCAACAAAAGATTTTTGAAACAGTATTTCTCAAGCAACTGGTCACAAGCCCAAATAGTAAAAGACAATTAGAAGTGCCACAAGGCATCGAAAAGTTTCAGTCTTAACACAAAGAAAGCCTCGCTCTCCATTTCCTTGGAAGGTCGAGTATTCCCTGCAATCACCACCTCAAAATGCAAAGATTTTATAAATGTATCATTACCCATGATATAGTACTTATTTTTAATTTTATAGCAATTACAGGCATGGCAATTATTTTATTTTTACTTCTAATAAGAAGTCTCCAAGCCTGAAAAGCTGAGATACACTGGTTCAGATCACTGAACTGTTGGATGAAAAGGGGCTTTCTAGTATAAATCTTTGTTTCCTAAAGGTTTTGGCATCTCTTCTGATATAACTACTTTTGAACTGAATAAATACACAATTTTTTTATCCCAATTTATTATGGTTCCTGGTCCATATATTATATAGCATTTTTTCCTACCACTTTACACATCACATCTTCAACTGTAGGTTCTTTGCAGTAAACACCATTTATACTGCATATATACACACGCAATGTGGTCTTGTTTGGGGCTACTGCAAGAAAAGTATTAATAATTCTTCAGTAGATTTCCACAGTGTAACTGGTGGTAGGATTTAACTGTCTATATCACAAAGCTGAAG